TTTCCACTTCTAGGTTCCTGTTTCTGGTCAGGGGGAGGCGGAAGCCAGTGTCCTCATAGAGGATCATCCTCAAGTAATAATGACCCAGGCCAAGTGGAAGCCTCCTGTTGACAATGCTACGGGAAAACATTACAAAACAAGATTAACCCTGAGAATGACTAGCTTTGTTGGGAATTTGTTTTCAAATGTATAATATCTACATGAGTAAAATATTCAGAAACATTTGGCCAGAAAAATAGCCATGAAAGTATTTTGTCAGCTACAGTGTAAAAAAAGTACTGTAATCATAAATTCTGTCATAACAGTAATGAAATCGAAATGGCATTGTGGTTGTCACCTCTCTAAAGGGTTAATGCCCACATCCATAGACACGGCCTGGGCCAGAGGGTATTCACAGGAGAAGTGCAGATGGATGCTCTTCTCACGACTGATGATGGCCTCATGAGGGTCTACGTCGCCCTGGATGGTGTTCTCATACATGAAATGGGTCCCATTGCTCTTTGAGAGTGAGAGGACAATAACATGAAGTATTTTAACATGTGTTTTACTTACTTACACATATAAAGCTGTATGTTGCAGAGGTTTATATCTAAAAGCTCTTGAACTTGTGTCTATAAAATGTATGGACTCTACCCTGAGAAGTGTCCCACACAGCTGGTCATCATTGTTAAAGTGAAACACCAGGCGTCCGTGCTGGAGAGTTCCTTTACAGGAGTCATCTCGGAGGTGAAGGTCACTGGGATGGAAGCCAGCTTCAAACAGCTGGCAGCGTGACACAGCTATGGTGCCTGAGCTACTGACACAAGTGATGGACGAGTCTATGAAAGAGAGATGTATGTGGGACAATATATTTTGTATAAGCTTGTAAAGGCAAGGACCAGAGATAAGGCAAATCAAATAAACATGTAAATTGTTAGGGTACAGCCTTCAATGCTGATGAATACTATATAATCTAGTACAGCAAGTCCGATCTATTGTCTTTCATAATCATCAAACAAGAGCAGTGTTTAAAGTTGTTGCCCTCACCGTAGCTCTCATTGTTGGGCCGATGGTGGTGCTCATCACAGAAGCAGCCGTACACACCGTCCTGCTCACCACACCACTCATACTCAGTGCAGTCCAGCTGTTCACAGGGGTCTGACTCAGCTAGTGGAGAAAGGGTGAGACAAAGAGTGATGAAACTGACACAAAATGAGAGGTTATGGCAAGATCTGCTACAGAATATTCATTTTTCTCATCAATTATCTCATAATCTGGTGTAAACTTACCACACTGCAAAGCAGAGCGCCATTCAGGGATGTTCATCCCCAACACGGCGCAGGTTCTCTCATAGGCTGAGACTGCAGAACACAGCATGCCATTGGCTGGAGTGTACTGGCAGAGATCATAGACACAGGAAGTGAAAAATGGCTGGGGGTCAGAGTGCAGGTGACAGGCACTGAATGGGCCGCTGCTGTTGGTGATGACACTACAGAGCTCAGAGTATTCTTCCCTAAAGGGACAGTCATTCAATCCATCACCACCGTCTTCATCCGTGGATCCACATCTGGAAAAGATGTAAGACGTTTAATACTTGGGCTGACTATGTATATTTTTCTGTGATATATGCACTGTTGTGACGGGGACTTGTGACAGGTGCAAATGTATAGCACCATCTTTATGAAATACAAGGTGTATTAAAAATGTGTGGTGGTCAAGCTGAATGCAACTAGATCTTCTTTTATGAAGTGAAAGATGTACAGCAGCTCACCCTGGTTGGCCTGTTTGTGACTTCCAGCTGTGTCCAAAGTGGTTGTCATTTTGGGCCAGTGTGCCATTGGGCAAGACTTTGTCATCTGCAGGATCACTGTTGAAGTTTCCACACATCCCTCTGACTCTATTTTGACGGTGTTGGCCCACTCTGACCAGTAGAGTACTCCGGCCGTCAAACTGGACTATTAAGTCAATGGCTCTGACTATTATGTAGCTTCCCTGCCTTTCTATCTGAGCTATGGTTCCTATTATGATGGGAAGAGACACGTCATTTCCATTTACCTGGAGGGATGAGAGATTAGAGAGAGGCAGACAAGAGGCATATGTTGTAGGTCTGTGTTTACACAAGTCAGATATAGAATATTTGTCATCTGGAAAGTAGATTTTTTACCTTTACTCTTTTGTTGGGTCCAATCCTGACATGTGCACCCTCTGGATGATTTTTTAGGTATATATCCACCGCTGACACAAACGACACATGGCTGTTGCCACGGTGATTATTGGTGGCTATTACCTGAAAGTGAGTTTCACTGGTGCCGTGGCTCACACTCTCAGTAACAATGTAAGAGCATGTGCCCTGGAAATGAGCCAGTGCTCCGTCAAAGGTGATGTAGTGTGGGTCTCCCCACACGGTGCAGGTGGTCATATCATCAAAACAGCCCAGCTGGCCATTTTGGATGGTGCACTTTTGTGA